AGTTGTGTTCATCCCCCATTTCTCTTCATTCTTTTATCTGTCACTTCATGAAAATACGGGCTTTGCTCTAAAGCAGAGGAGGAAGCAAGAACAAACTGTACAAGCAGGTAGTGTGGTTGGAAGGCTGAAACCTGAAATGCTGCTTTGTATGGCTGTGTTCTCAGCACTGGGATGTGAAGGGATGTCTGCTCCTGTTCTCCATGAGAAGAGATCTCACAACCTCATTCCTTCTTCCAAGGCTGCTGGCGCCAAGGGAAACGACTGGTGACGTACAGGGAAACAGAATTCCCAGTGTCCCTGTGGGACCAGCAGGAGTTGTGAGGAGATGCCGCAGGATGGAATGTGCACAAGGCACAAGTGGTGAATGAACAAAAGAACTAGTAAATCTTTTATGATGGTTCAGAAACGGATAAGTATTGGTATTTTAAAACCCAAATTTCAGGCAGAGTGTTGGATTTTGTTACACAGAGTCCACTGGAAGGTGAAGTCAGTAAATGTGAAGTTTAAAGAAGAGGAATTCTATTAGTTCAGCTTGCTTGGGACAGCTGACTTAGGATTTGATGTGTTTTGTTTCTTTAATCATCTCTTAAGGCCCAGGAATTCAGGCAGCAATCAGAGGATATTAAATCAATCTTCAGAGAGCTCCTGGACAAGACACATTTAGTGTTTCATCACAGAGAGGAGTAGAAAAATTAGATGGCTGGGCTTCATATACCATTTCCAGGGAAACAGGTGAAGACATAAGGCAGGAAGTAGAAATGGTGAAGAAATTATCGTTTTCAATTGCAAGACTGGATGGCAGGAATTGTATTATGTCTCCCAGTGATCAGGTTCTGGATAAAAAACATAAAGGAAAACCCATCTCCTCTACTTGATTCTGTTAAATTCTAACTGCCCTTTGATGATGTCACAAGTCAACAGGAAAGGTAAGGTGATGCAGATTTGGTTGGATTTTGTAGGAGTTTACTGTGGTGACATTTTTCAGGATATAGTGAAAAACTGTGACTAAGAGTAATAGTAATAATATAACTAGGACAAAGCTTCCTGGGAGCAGGGAGAGAAGCCACCTTGGACAGCTGGTTAGGGAACCAGCATGTCTGCCCTTTCCAGGCAAAGAGAAGTGCCAAAAGCTGCTTTGGGCCTTCCCAGACTTGGAGGGCAGTTCCAACTGCAGTGTGTGGTCTGTACGAGCTCCTTCAGCTCCTGGCTGGCTGGGCAGGCAAGACTCAGGTGTTCTATGCAAACAGCTTGTGTTCCACCCCCTGATCCTGCAGGTTGTTCATGCTGTGCATGGCCATGGTACACAAAGCTGTCCTCAGGCTGTATTTCAGTCTCAAATTACTGCTCAGGACAAAACTGTAGTAGATCTACATCTCAGAGTTAACTCAGCATTCAGAAGTCTTACCTACAGCTTCTGGGACATAACCTAAAATTGTTGTTGCTGCCTGCTGTGATGAAGGAGCAGGATGAGGGATGCGGCCCCAGAGCCCACAGAATGGTGTCCCTGTGCTCAGTCATTTCTGGGTGGGTAAGAGCAGGGAGCCAGCACAGGGTTATTCCAGCCCAGGTGGCTGCCCCATCCCTGGAAGTGTCCAAGGCCAGGTTCTTCAGGGCCCTGAACAAGCTGGTCTAGTGGAATGTGTCCCTGCCATGGCAGGGGATGGAATAAGATGGTCTGTAAGGTCCCTTCCAACCCAAGTGTCATTATCATCATGATAATGTTGATATTAGTGTCACTTCTTAGTTTTTTTTCATCAGCTGAGATTTCTCCTCCTCATCTTTCTCTACAAGGCAGGATAATGTTCTGTTTGTTTTCATTCGTGTCAACAGTTTTTGTTTAATATCCCTCCACAGTTGAAAAGCTGGGCTAAGATTAGAGGCTTGGGTTTGGGGACTGAAACACACCCAGCTGAAGAAAACTGTTCCTTATCTGCAGCCAGAGAAGGTGGGACAAAAGTCTGGAAGGTTTTGTATTCTGTGTGGTGTGTTCTGTGCTTTCAGGTCAGACATCTGAGCCTCCAGGGTTTATATAATGCTCTACAGCTGACTTGTTCCAGGTGACTGCAAGCAACTGTAGCCACGTGTCTGTATTGGTAATTTCTAGTAAAGGTGCTATGCAATGTCTTTAAAAAAGCAAATTCAGATCTCCATGATGCCATGGCTTGTGAGTCTTCAGTGTAAATATGTGCCTGACTTGATCTCCTCAAGATTTCAGACCCAACAGGCAAATCTGTTATAATGAAAAATTAACGTAAGACAAGGGAAAAGTTGCACTGTGAGACATGGGTTTATTAATTTATAGTGAAACAGTTTGAAATACCATTCAAATGTATCACTTCAAGTCTATTTCACAATGCAATAATACAGTAACATAAAAGTAAGAACATATCCAGTAATTTTTATATGTTATATATTTGTGAAAAATTCAGTGTCTTAAAGAACTGGGTCACGTGTGTTTTATAATACAGAAATAGCTTTAATGCATGTTTTTTTATTTATGATTGATTGTATTCGATATAGGGAGATTTGGGACTTGTTGATATTAATTTTTTATTTACATAAAACTGATTGTGATACTTTATTTTGTCATATCGCTGTGAAGCACCTGGAAATAAAGGGTGATAAGATACTTTTTAAAAATTAACTTCTGTCTGTTGTCTCATCTGTAGGACGAATTGTCAGTTCCTTTCTTCTTTAAGAGTTAAGTTGGTAAACATGACTAAGTCACACCTGGGGAAACAACTTCACCCCTGAAGTACTGAAACATTCCTGGAAGAAACCACTGAAGTAACAGCCAGGACATATTAATGCTGAGTGTCTTAAATTTTGAGAAATGCTTCCATTTTCTTTCCTTGGTGATTGTCATTGTGATTCTTCAACAACTTAGGAAGGAATTCTTGTGAAGGTATTTTAATGCATCAGTGTAGTTATATTGTAGTGAAAGTTTGGAGGTTTCTGAATCACACTGAAATACTGAAAATGTATTTTAAATCCAAAATGAAAGTGGGGTCCTACAAAGCCTTTGCTTTTTATTAAGGAGTATCAGTATGCACTAGATGGTGTGTAGTTTTTATTTTAAATTGCAGGGATTCCAAGAAGCAAAGCTTAGCCCTGCGCTGATGGTAAACTGCAGTCAAGAAAGGCTGTGATTGAACACATTGCAGAAATGAGGATTTTGTTTACCCTACCACAGCACTGCTGTGCTCCTCCTGCAGCCCAGAGCCAGTGTCCAAACCAGAGGGGGTCCCGAGGTCCCTGTGGGGCAGAGTCCCACACCCTTGTCCAGGGTGCAGTTCTTCAGTGAACGGCTGTGGGAGGTGGATTTTTGGTGCAACAACTGAAAGGAATTGCTCGTGTTTCCCGTGCTGTGAGCAGGGAGTAGGTCTGAACTGAGCCTGTGCTGGTTCTGAGTGTGGGGAACCCCTCCTGTGCTGTATCTGGGGCACTCCCAATATGTGAGGACTCAGCAGCTGGTGTTCTGTTTGCACCACCCTCGGAACCTCTGCAGGGAGGGAGGGTGTTCTCCAAAGCCATCTTGAACCAGATCTGACATTAATTAAGAGTAAAGCTAATGAGCAGTTGAGCATCTTTCTCCATGAACTTTGGACAGTAATTTTGCTTTAGTTATAGCTCTGTATTTGAGGAAGTGAGATCAGTCTAGATGTACTGTACCTAGTCTAGTCAGAGAATGCCTAATTTGGCACCCGATTCTGCTGTGTTCCAGAAACTCAGACAAGAGGAGGAAATGGGTGTGCTGTGAAATAAAAAGCTCACAGCTGTTTAGGTCTGTTGGCACTGGCTTTATTTGTTGTTACCCAAGTGAGCACTAAAAAGAGAAGCCTGATGGGCTGTGCAGCCCTTCTATGGGACCATGTCCAAACCTGCTGTGTTCATAAATGCCAGGGGTGTAACAAAGTCATGAGTTTGGGGTTTATGATCTGCTCCATTAAAACATCTCACCCAAGTCAAAACTGCAAATTGCATTTCTGCATCTTTGAATGAAATCTCAAAGCCCCAGGTCAAGGTGTTTGTTCATCACCCAGCCTGAAGGACTGGCACTCAGCAGCTGTGAGCTGGAGCCAGAGCAGAATTCCCTGTGAGCCACAGGAACAAAGCATCTGTATGAACTGGTTCTTCACACTCCTGCCTTCATCTGAAGAAGGATCATGCAATTTCCTTTACTGAGCTCTATGTAATTTCTCTGTTCCTGGGTGTTGTACAGCAATCTTCTGGCAGAGCTGAGAATCTCTTATCCCTTGCTGTAAAATTAACTGCTGCTGGGCTTTCATCCAGAGCAGTATTCTTTCAAGAATTTGCTAGGCATTGATTTTTAGAGATCATTATTTATCCTCTGAAAGGTAAAGGTTAAAGTTTACCTTTTGCTGTTAGTGTAACTGTGGTTGGCATGTTTGCATAAGCAGCCAGCCCCTGTCAAATTAGGAAATCCACATTGGGATTTTATCAGTTGTGGAGAAACTTGGAGGGCACCATCCTAAAACAATGCTTGTGCCAACTGAAACTGCAACACAGTTCATCTCCCACAGACTTTGGGTCTGTCCCGGACAGTGTTCAGGATGACAAATCATTCACATAGAAGCAACCACATATTGAGGACCTCGTGCAGTGAATGTTGAGAATAGTAGAGAAACAATCTTTAAATAATAAAAAGGCCAGATGACAGTTTGAGAGTGTGCTAAGGTATCAGTTTCTGTTGTCATTCATCCTTGCCAGAGGGGGATTTTCCATTCTTTCCTCAGAAGAGTGAAAAATTAACCAATAAAACTTAATGGCAGATGCATACAATGACAGGATTCCCTCCTGGCTCCTGTCTCATTCTTAGTTGGCTTCAGGATTGTGGCTTTGGCATGTCTTTAAAACAACGTCTCTTCCAGGAACTTTGTCTTCAGATTCCAAGTTTGTTATCTGTAAAAGGTAGCATAACCCAAAAAGGAGAGTAGATAAATGCTCCTGACAGATACCTCAGTCTGTTGAAACTTAATGTCCTTAAACAAAAACTTTACGTATGTATTGAAAAATTCAGAAGTAGCACGATTAATGAGACACTTTTATGGAACTACCCAGTTTTCCTAAAAGAAAATATGCAGGATAAGTTATCAGGAAGCTTCTATCAGTTTTAAGTTAATTAGTAATTCTTCATAGAGAAGGATGCTGTAAAACAGGCTCAAAATCCATGATCCTTGACTCTCCTATGGTAGCAGAAAGGAGGGTTCATTCTGCTGCTGGCAGAGTCTGGAAGAAAGAGTGTTTTATCCCAGTTGGCTCCAGGATGTCCTTTGTGGAAGTCGTGCTCTGTGTCCTGTTCCTGGCCAGCGGATCCCTGGGTGAACAAGGAGCTCCAAAACGTAAGACATGGTGGGATTTGATTTAATTGTCAGGACAGGGGCGTGTCCATGTCCATCCACTGCGGGAGTGCTGCCGTGGCACTGCAGTCCCAATGGGAATTCTCCTTATGGCTTAGATGGGGTTTATTTTAAATCACAGGAAAACAATGTAAATGGGAGAACTTTCGGCAGCTGCTTTCCTGTGTTGTGTCATAATTCTTGAGTTCTGTGCTGCCAAGAGCATATTCTGTGGAGGCCTAGATGTGCTGTGGCTGTCACCTGTTACTGTGTCTTCTGCACATCAAAAAGGTCCCAACCATATGGGTTACAACTGAAATACTCAGGTTTCTGGTGGCTTTGAGTCATTTTGAGTCAGTCTCTCCAGGCCAAAAGGATGTTTTTAAATGAGTTGAATGCCTTGGTTCTTTTCAGTAGGAAGAAGTACTTGGTATAGAGGTTAAAGAATTACACGATTCTTTTGATAACAAGTATTCTTAGATTTTTTTGATACTAACAGAGAAAATCATCAGTAATTAAGAGCATGACAACAAGAATGCATTGAAAGCAAAGTAATTTTAAATGAGAAGCTAATTAATATGGAATTGTCTCGATTCTCTTACAGTATACAGTATTGGTCAGGTATTTTTTTAATGGGGGGATTTTCTATTCATTGATTTTATATATTTATTTATTTTATCATCACTGCTCTTTACCTGGTAGCTACCAGTTACTGGTAACTAGGCATCATTAACCTCACAGTGATGGAAACCAGCTGCAGGTACTATTGTCTAGTTACTAGTTTTGATTTGTGATCTGAGAAACTTTTTTATGCTACTTCAGCCTTTTAGTCACCAAAACAAGTTCCCCCTTGAAGGCTAGCTTTGCACTGATACAGATTTGAGAGCAGTGAGTTCCTAAATGACATGGAATATTAGAGCACTAACGTCAGAGGACACCCACTCCCTCCCTCCCTCCCCAGCACAATTATAGCTGGTTATTTTCTGCTCCCTTAGTATGTTTTTTAAGGTTGCTGAAAGAATTGTGGTTGTGTTACTGCTGCTTATCTCCTAAGCCATGCCAAATGCTACTTGAGACTTCATTGTTCTGTGTTTAGAGGCATAACATGGCATCTCTACTGAGGTCTTGGAAAATGCTTCAGTGCCGATGCCCTTTTGAGAGAAAGGCCTGCAGTGCATGGAAATAGATTTGTACAAATGCAAGCCTTGATTCACTGTGTAATCATTTAGATTTATCTCTGCTTAGCAGGAAATGTTGGATTAGATTGTCTTGGACAGGCAGGAGGCTTCCACCTCTTTTTGAAATCCAGACTGCTCAGAGCAGAGTTTCTCTAGCTAATAATGCTTTAGTCAGGGGTTTGGTAATGCCCCAAGCTCTGACATTCCTTGCTTCCAGTCAGTTCTCTGGTGGGTTCAGAAGGATCTGCCCAGAGATCCTTCAGTTCTGACTCTCTGGCTTCATTCTAAATGTGTATCCTCTCACTGGGAACAATTATGACAAATTATACTCAGCTATGTTGGCTGTTTGGGGCTTTTTTTGAGTGTTCAGGTTGGTGCTTGGTGTGGAGTCCAAGTCCTACGTGGGAGAGAAACAGGTAGCAAAGAGTGCAGGGTGTGAGGGACAAACCTGGTGATGTTTGATGTCTGACTGAGGCTGATGAGGAAGGTATTTTAGCCACTCATACACCTGTGGATGTGTAAACAGCTTCCAGATCATGATTTACAGCCCTCAATGTTTACAGAGCAAAAGAGACAGATGAGGATTGACATTAACACGAACCAAATCCTTTGGTAGGCCAAAATAAGGAATAAACCCAATGCAAAACACACACAAAGGTTTTAACTGGGATTATAATTAGAAGGTTGGAATCTCCAATGGATTTCATGACTTTCAGCCTTTGCCAGCAATCCAGAGATAATACACAGTGGAATTCAGATACAACCACGCTTAAATGATGTGATAAAAATCATAATAACATGCAATTTACTGGCCAACTGGGAGATGGGTCCACATTCAGAGTAAAGGAATTTAAGCAGGTAAATCTTTATTTCTCAAATAATTTCAAAAATTTCAAGGGGCAAGGCACTGGAAAGTAAGATTTAGTATCATCTAGAGTATGTCATGAAGCTTAAATGTCTGGTGCCATTAGCAATCCAGCCCAGTGACAGTATGTTACTGGATAGTTGCATTAAGTACTTGATTTGTTTTAATTCACAGCCAACTGCACTGGAGTGGAGGACTTTGAGGCCTGCCTGGGTAACACAACTGAGTTCTGTCCCAGCAATATTTCTTGTCTGTGTAAAAATGAAGAACCTTTCTGCAGGTAGGGTGTGGGGTTGGTTTGTTTGTTTAAATATACACCGTGTAAATGTCAAATATATTCTTAAATGTGAACTAAATTTAGACCCTGCAATGTGATCCATGAAAGTAGATGTTGATCTTCATTCACAACCTGCATAAGTTTATAACTCTGGTACAAAGTATCTGGGCTCAGAGTTTTCTTCTTTAAAACAAGTAATTTCTAATGTAGGTAATCACTGTAATCCTGAATTTTCACATGCTCCTTCTTGTCTCAGATATTTTACTTTACAACTGCATTATCTGTGTAATGGCATGTTCATTTTTTTTCCCAGGCTGATCAAATTTTCTTGAGAGTTAGAAAAACCCGAATGGGATATCTTAATATTCTGTTCTCCATTACATAGTTGTTTTTTTTCCTTCTAAAAAATCAGTGTCATAATGACAGATATCACTGTCACGTTTCACTTACATCTGCAGAGTCTGGAAACTCAGCACCTTTGTCATGCTTAGAGCTGGCACAGGGATCTTTGCCCTCAGTCATGCCATGACTTGGGTACTGCACCCTGTTCCAGCAAAGCTGATTATCTCCTCCTGAAATGCCAACCTGGAGCCTGGCAAAGTGCTTTTGCATCAAATCTGGAAAAAGATGTGTGTTACTAAGAAAAGTAACACCTTCAGACAAACTGTAAAAATAGTGAATCTCTTGGCTCCTGCAGTATTCAATAATAAATAGTTATATAGCAAAATATTTTACCCTTTATTTGTATTACTGACTTTTGAATTAAAATGATGTTGCTGAAAATGAATATTTTTATTTGCAGTTGTAATTACTTCAGAGTGGGCTGGAAGGACTACTGGTACATGGGCCCCAAATGTAACCACCTTTGGAACACTCTAGATTTCATTTTAGTTGCTACTGTTCCTGCACTAACACTGGTTCTCATCGTGACTGTAATATTTTCATCTCTCTACTGCTGTAAAAGTGAAAAAACTGGGTAAGTGACTCTGGGTGCAGGTAGAAGGGGGGTTATAATCCAAATGGAAGGAAAGCAAAAGGAGTCTGGTATTCTGGTTAATTTTTAACCTCTGGATATTTAAATGGACAAGGTTGCCCTGAAGCATCCTCTGCCAAAATAGAGTTTGTACAATTTAAAACTAAATCAAAGCATCTTCCTTGAGCACTCAACATTTACTCAGCATTTTACTACTACGTGTAGAACTTCACTCTGAGTCATTACCTCTTTTCTTTAGGACTCACCAGACAAGCTTTAAAGATCAATAAGTCCATTTGCTACTTAAACTCGAGACTACCAAATGTGTCTTTGTGATTTATTTGCTCTTAAGGATTGGCTTGCTTTCCACCAGTTTAATAAAAAAAGAATAAGGCCACAACATCGACAAGAGTTTGGACGATTAAACTCAATTCCTCCCGTTCTTTGGTCTCAGACTTTGGCAATTGGAGCTGCTTTTTGCTTCCAACACTTTTTTTTCTCTCAAGGAAATAGACAAGATGTTTTTTTCTTTCACTGAGCCCCAGTAATGTGTGTCATAGAACAGCTGTAATAATGCATAGCTCTTGTATAGCCAGTGCCACATCTGAAGCTGTGCCACGGCTGTTGAACCAATCTGCAGTACAGAAAGGTTTGTCAAGACCCTCAGCACTGCTCAAGCTCTAAATTCCCACTGTTCCCCCCCAGCAGGAAGCAGCTAAACTCTCCCTACCGTGAGGCTCAGCACAACCCTGCCTTCAGTGCTGACTCCCCTGTTCCCCAGGGGCACAGGCACCCACAGCCACCCAGGGTAAGAGAGCTGGGGCACACCACGGGGGCCTGGGGCTGGGGGGAGCCAGCGGGGGGGGATTGAGAAGAATAGTGTATGAACAGCAAAAAGAAAAGGTCATCTGGTAAAATTAAAGGTACTCCAGGTTTAAAATCTCCCTCATATTTGATTTCTGAGATCAACTGAGCGTATGTGAGAAGGTGAAACTCTTCAAGATTGCTGTGAGACAGAGGAGAGTGTTTTATAGGACCACCTTTATAGTCTGTGATGGAGCTGGGATTTCAGTTTTGGTCCCCAAAGGACCAGCTGCTGTCTCTTGGGCCAGGGTCATGCTCTGCTGGGCCAGTTTTCTCCATTAGACAAGTTGTAGTAGAGATCATTGCTTGAAGTAGTGGAAAAGATGGATAAATACAGTTAAAAACCAATATGAAATACAAAGAAACATGAAAGGAAATATATTTGTGTGTGTTCCTTTGCTCACTCAGTAGTTCAGGTCATTATTTTACATATTAAGGAGTGTGCGTGTGTGACAAGAATACATTGTGGGCTGCCTGAGAAAATTAAGAAAAGAATCTCTTCTAATCCATTATTTTCTGTTAAATCTGTCTGTAAAGCATCATTATCTTGGCAGTGCAGCAGCCTGAGCCTGCCTTCACCAGGAGATGGTGCTGTTTAATTTTGAACTAGTTCTGAATTTGGTTCAGCTCATGCTGTTTTCGAGGTTAATAACTGGTTTACTTAATTGTGCAAAGACTTACCTGGGTGGGTGTTCCTCTGTTATATCTATATAGACTATATAATATACAGTCTGTAAAGGCTTTTCTACTGAGTCTTTTAGATGAGTTGAATTTATACATTTGAAAATGTGTCTATAACAAATGCTTTGTAAGTGCTAGATTGGTTTTTAACTTCCAACATACTGGTGAGCTGGGGTTTGTCATTTGTTGTCATTTTGCTCTGTGTAACCACCTGATCCTCTCCATCAGGATCTGGATAGCTGGAGTGGACAAATTCCAAAAGCTTCACTGAGAAGACAAGATTTTGATGATGTCTCAATCCCAAGCCAAAGAGGGACTTACGTGTATGATGCTCTTTTTCTGTATTTTTTGGTCATTTTCCCTTTATGTTCTGGTTTGGAGGCTCTGAATGACTTTGTAGCTCTGCCAGTGGCACAGCAACCAGCAAAGGTCCACATGGCAAAGCTTTTGACTGGACTATTCACATACGTTCCCATACATAAATCCTAAAGTACTGATTTATCCAGGGGCTTCTCTGGTTTTCCTCTAATAATTCCAAATGTCTTCATTTTCAGTACTTTTAGAAGCACAGTTTCCCTGGTTGTGCTTCCTCCCTTTGACCCTCCCCATTATCCAGCCAACTGCTGCAGCTCCTCCCTGCAAGTTTTGCAGGGCACTTGTTTGCCCCAGTGGAGCTCAATGGCAGCAGAACATTTTCCTCACACGTAACAGGGTTCTGCTGCAGACACAGACTGGAGCTTGCTGATGTTTCAGTCCACCAAGAAGGTCTGATTTTTTTAATATAAACATTGAAAATGCTGAAAGTATAGCTATCATGCAGTTAAAACATTCTGAAAATAATCATGGGAATATAGAAAATTAGATACTATGGCACTGTTTGGTGTGTCAGTGAAAAGAAAATAAAAACTCAAAGAATACCTTCTGTAAATTCTTCTGTAAAATCACTTTTCTCTGTGTTTGCAGGAAGGTAAAGAAGATTTAGATGTTGCCTCAGTGCAGTAGTGAGCTTTAATATTTTTACATTTCAGTTTAAAGGAACACCTTATGCAATTTGCAGGGTGTTATAACACAGGTTTTTAACAACCCTTTTCTCCTTTGCACAGTCCTGTGTATCCCCAGCCCCTGAGGACACCAGACCCAGCCCCAAACCGTTTCTCTCAGCCCAGGCCCCAGCAGGAAGGATTTGACTATCCCAGCAGGAATTTGCCTTATGCTGATTATGCAGGGGGGAGACAGTATCAGGTACATATTAATTACATACCTATGCATATTAATTACATACCTATGCATGTAGATTATTTAATTGTCTATCTTGGTGCTGAATAGAAATCAAAGCCACCTTTTCCACTGAGGATATAAAATTCCTTCTTCGGGAATTTTACAGGAATTGGCCCTGCTGAAATGTTTTTAAATGTTTCAAAACCTGTTTCAGTTTGTGTGCACACAGTCCTAATACACTCAGTTATTTGCATGAAAATCACCTCCCAAAGCTCCTGGTGAGTGCACGCTCAGAAGCAGCACATACTAATAAATACATATAAATGTAGTTTGATTAGATCCAATTATCTTAATAGCCAGCAGGAGTGTGTGTCATGCTATTAATTTAATTCTAATCTCTTTGCAGAAATACTAAGAACAAGTGCTTCCTATATCAGAAATATCTTGGAATGCTGCTGATCACCAGGTAATCCAGATGCTGAAAGGGCAGTGAGACCCTGTGGATTGGGACACAGAGGAAATGGCCATCACTTTCATTAGAAAGCACTAAAAGTTATTGCAAAGAAAAGGTACAGAAGATAACTATAAACCAAAACATGATATTGCATGATCTTAGCACCTGATTGTTTAGTGTGTAATTGGTGAGAACTTTGTGAATACCTGACGTTACAGTTCCCAGAGCTGCTGCTCAGGATTGCTGAGGTGGTTGCACATCTGTTGGGACACAGGTTCTTTGGGATTAACCTTGTCTCCTGTGCCTAAATGACAAGAAGTCCCCGGCACAAGAAGCTGCCTCAGAAGACATTGATGCTGTTTACAGGGCCATGAATTTCTCTTAGCTCTAATTTTGAAGATTCTTCAGGGCATTGTAGCAAGTAGAGCCTGTTGTGCCCTGACTGACATTGCTTTGCTTTTCCCCTTAAAAGCCAATATTTAAAGAAAGAAAACAACAAATTATTTATAATTCTGAGCTAGAATGGTTTGCCTTTAATACTGCTGTGGCTTTCTTTGTAACTTTTTCTGCAAATGATGAAAATAAATGAAGCTGTGGAAGATTGCCACTAACAAATTAATAAGACTGAAGTCCTGGATTTATTTCCCATTTTCCAAAAAGTCTGAAGCACATTATATTGAGATTTATATTAGAAGATTCTTTACCTTAATATTAGGTAATATGTGAAAGTATATGACAAAACCGGAATCGTCAGGTTTTTAGAAAGGTTGGGGTTCTTTTTGTTTGGTTTGGTTTTTGTTTTTCCCCCAAAGTCACAAATACACAAAGTGGGCAAGTTTCACTGGTTTTATTTCTACTGCTGCAAGACACCTGTGGGCACTTAAAGTCTGAAACTACTGAGGGCAGATTTGCCAACTGTTAAATCACTAATGCTGTCAGAGGAACTTTTCATGGATAGTTGAAATCACAGGCACAAAAATTCATTAAAAAGAATCCAGACATTTTCTGGATGTGGACTGCTTGCAGACCTTCATTGCAATGGCTTCTGAGAGTGCAGGCAGCCTAAAGCAATGCTTGTGCTTATCAGCGTTGAGAATTTAGTTGCCGGTTAAAGCAACTGAATCAGCACAAAAGAGCTGAATGTTCATAGTGGTGACACCTGCAGAGCCAGCTTTGAAGCAGCACCTTGTGCTGGAGTCAGTAGAGGAGGAAGAGGGAAGGATGGCCCTGCTTTTCCTTGTCTCACCCAGGGTCCTTTAACAGGCGTGTCCATAACAGCATCCTCCTGTCATCCAGCTGCTTTTCATTTTCTATCAGAAATAGGAGAGGTGAGAATGGTTCCCTCCTGTTATCTTCAGAAACACACAGAAATGGTGTTGGCACATCTGTTTAGATCCCAGGTGATCAGTTTAAGCCCTTTTGACCTCATAAATTCAGATCTGAAGGTGTCAGGGAATTGTGTCAGTGAATTGCCTTTCTCTGTCCCTTCTCAGCCTCGGGAAGTGCCACAATCTGACAAACTGTGGTTGTTGTTGACCTCGATCCAGCTGTTTTATCAACCTCAGAGTGACCACAGGATTCAAGAGTGTTCAGTTTGATATTCCACCACTGCTTTGAAAAGGAATAGGAGGAAGAGATAAGGCAATGCTGTCACATATCCATGGTGCTCCTCAGCTCCCACTGCCGTGCTGGGTCCGTGACAGGAGCTCAGGTGATCCCACCCCCACAGCTCTGCCCCCGTGGAGACCCCTGGACATGGTGGAGGTACCCAGCAGTCACAGAATAGTGGGGTTGGAAGGGACCTCTGGAGATCATCCAGTCCAAGCCATCCCTACCAAGGCAGGGTCACCCCGAGCAGGTGACACAGGAACATCTCCAGGTGGGTTTGGAATGTCCCCAGAGAGGGAGACTCCACACCTGCCCTGGGCAGCTGTTCCAGTGCTCTGCCACCCTTGTGGGAAGAAGTTCTTCCTCATGTTGAGGTGTAACTTACTGTGTTTTAGTTATGGCCATTGCTCCTCATCCTGCCGCTGGGCACCATCCTCTGACTCCCGTGGAGATCAGCACCTCAGGGTTTGGGGTCACATTTCTCAGGTGTCCCCTTCTGCAAACTGTACCCTGCGAACTATCTGGAAACACAGCTCCAGGACTGGATTTCTCCCTGGCTGCCAATGAATAAAAGGTATGGAGCAGGCACCAAGCCTTGCCCAAGTCCTCCTTTGCTCGCATTTGTACAGCAGGCTCTGAACCTTGTGACAAACAGGAATACAAAGTTCCCAAAAGTTCTTATGCTTGTCACGAGAAGGTTCATATCCGTATCCTAACTACTTTTATATATTAAAATACTGTTGTTTCAACTTCATATTGAATTCTCGTGTTTAACAAAATAAGTAGGATTTTCATGCTGATAGAAGAGCTCCACAGAACCAAAACCATGCCCCGGGCTATTTAAAGGTTGGGTGTTTTATTATGGAGATTATTTCACTGCCCTCCAGGGAACGTGTCTGGGGGGTGGGTCCCCGTCATTCTTTCACTGTGCCCCCAAGGTGTGTGTGCGGGGTCCCCCCGCGGTGCCGCCCGGGGTGTGTGTGCGGGGTTCCTCCCCGGTCCCCCCGGGGTGTGTGCGGGGTTCCTCCCCGGTTCCCCCCGGGGTTTGTGCGGGGTTCCTCCCCGGTGCCCCGGGGTGTGTGCGGGGTTCCTCCCCGGTCCCCCGGGGTTTGTGCGGGCTTCCTCCTATCCCCCCTCGCTGCCCCTCACGGCTCCGGGGGCGCGGGGGGGTCTGAGGGGGCGGCGGCGGCTGCGCCTGCTCGGCGCGCGGGGGCGCGCGTGACGTGCGCGGGGAGCGGAGCGGGGCCGCGCGCGCTCGCGGCCGCCGCCCGGCCCAGGCTGCGGGCGGAGCGGGCCCAGGCCCGGCCCGGCCCCGGCGCCGAGTCCCGCGGGCCCGGCGCACCCCGGGCCTGCACAGGTGAGCCGGGGCACGGGCGCGGGGACGGCGGGGCAGGGCCGGCCGCGCTCCGGGCCCGCCGCCGCGGGCGCCGCGGGCCGCGGGCGGCCCTGGGCGGGCGGACGGGGGAGCCCCGGGCGGGCCCGGCGGTGCCGCGGCGGGCGAGCGGTGCGGGCGGGCCCCGCGGCGGAGGGGCCGCGCGGGCGGGCAGAAAATGGCGGAACACAAGATGTCGGCCGGGCCGGGCCGGGCCCGCGGGGCGGGGAGGCCGCGGCTCCGCGCCGGGGCACGGGGCGATCCCGCCGGGACGGGGCTGTTCCCGCCGGGACGGGGCGATCCCGGCGCCGTCCCCGCGCCCCGGCCTGCGCGGCCGCGGGGCTCCCTCCCGCTCCTTTGTCCCCGCGGTCGCTCCGCCGCCTCCCCCGCCCCGCGGCACCGCGGGCGCGCCCGCGCCGGGCACGCGCGGGAGGAGGGAGGGAGGGAAGAGGGAAGGAGGGAGGGATGCGCCGGGATCCGCTCGTGCCTTCGGGGACCGGCAGCCCCGGCCCTCAAACAGCCGCGTCCGTTACTGTGCTTTTTATTTACCAGGGGAAGTTTTGTTACTGCCGCCGATGTACCTTTTTTTTTCCGTGGTTTTTATTTTATTTATTTGTTTTTTTATTAAGAACCTTTAAGGCGTTTCAGGCAACGAGAAAAAAAAATCTTGCTCTCTGGTTTTGTCTGTGTCGTTTTAAATGGATTTAAGACTATGAGTTGCCCTGGGTGCGTTGTAGGTGGACACAATAAAGGATTTTGAAATGGATATGTTGGTTTTTCATACCCTTTCTGCGACGGGTCTGTGTTAATCTGCACCTTATTTCATTAATTGGGTTTTCTGCTTAAGGTTTTCTCATTGCGTTTCTGTCGGTTGCTGCATTAAAAATTAGGGGGGAAATCCCCAAACCGTGAAGTGTCATGAGAGGAAGATAATTCTCCTTTTCAAGTTAAATACTATTTAAGAAATAAGATGATTACAAAACATCTGGTTTGCGTTTTTCAACTGCGTGTAAGTTTATTTATTGTTACATTGGTTTATTTATTGTTCCATGGCTCTGTATCTGAGCCTGGTCCCTTTGGTTTAATCAAAAGCTTGCGCAGCTTGTGAATATCCAAAACACCGACAAAACACGGTGTTGCATTTTCCTTTAGAACATGTAAACAAGACCTAAATATTTTTTAGAAGAAATAATAGTATTATTTAGAAGAAATAATATTATATATTCTAAATAATAATATTATTTAGAACAAATCTACTCCTTTAAAGGAGAGACGAAGGGCTGACCATGCAATTAGGCTTTATGTGAAAATGCATCACCTGAACATACTGGGAATAATCGTATGTGTAAAGTGGGGCTTAACATTTGCAGGACCACACTGTTTAGGGTATAACAAAACATGTTCAGAACTCTACATAAATAAGAGCACGTATTTAAGTAGCAAGTGGCATTTTGCAGAAATGTTGTTCATGTTGTACACGTTTCAATTAGGGCAGCAGTGCCTGGAAGCCAGTGTAGGAACTGGGAGCTTCCTTGCACCTCTGGGTGTCCTGAAGCAATGGTTTGTATCCCTCCTCCTTAAAATGCTTTGCTGAGGATCTCTCCATTTAGGGTGTGTTCTTAAACTTTCCCCAAAATTAAAATATTAATGGCTATGATATTTTTATAGGAAGGGTAAGCTAAGAATAGATCAGTGTGTTTACTGGGAGCTTCTGCCAGCTTTTCGGTTGAGCGTTGCTGTTGTGTATTCTTAGGTCATCCCAAACTGCCAGCCATTATCTTTGATTTTTAAAAATTCCACGTGCAGAAGTAATTTACAGTGGTGTTCCTGTCTGTAGTCAGAGAGGTCAAATATCCCTTCCCCTTCCTCTCAGATTCATTGCTTGTCTGAGCTGAGCCCTGTGTAAGCAAGAGCTTTGGCATAACGAGTGAAATAGGTTGAAATCAGCTCAAGCTCATTAGAAAGACAACTGTTATTTTTCATAAAAGCAAAACCACTTTAGATACAGACACATTTAAAAAATTTAACATCAGGACGCTGCTCTGGGAGTCCCAGTGTAGGTTTCATGAAATACTTCATTTTGGGATCTGATGGGAACCTGCTCCTTCCTGGGCCAGGATAACATGGTGTAATTAAAAAAATCAATGCAAATATTAGTGGAAGGTTGTAAAGTGAATATTTTATTGGCTGATGCTAATCAAGTGTTTTCACTGTCTTAAATACCCAGAGGAGAAGGGGAATTGAGAGGAAAAGCTTGAGATGTTACTAGTCAGGGGCAAGAGAGGAATGGATAAGTTTGGATTATGTATGGAATTGTGGCTTTGTGCCTGATTTCTCTGCTGGAAACCCACGATTGGATCCGTCTGGGGTTGTGTGGGTGTGTAACATGGTGTACTACAGGAGGAAGCTGTGAAGAGCCACAGTTAATCACTGCTCTGCGTTTTTTTGCTCCTTCCAATTACAAGATTTCATTTCCCTGCCTGTGTGGCTGTGAAACTGCATCTCCTGCACTGCTGCAACCTGGCAGCAAACCCACCCTCTTAGGGGGGAATCTTGGGCCTTATCCATGGGGGATTCTTCCAACTTTAGCTGGAAGGGCTCTTCCTGCTGTCACTGCTGTCCTGCAAGACCCCAGGGTGGAAATACCAAATCCATTTGTGATTGTGTGGTTGATGCAGCTCCATCCTTTGTCTGCAGTGAGGGTCTAGAAGATGAGACTTCAGTAGGGCTGGTACAGCCTCAGTGTGGTTGTTGCCACTGTGTCCTCCTCCTCTCTGGTTTTAGGGGAAGGCTAAGGGATTCATAGTACTCCATGCACAGAAGGTGCCATCCCATAACTTTGGGAATTTTTCTAGTCCTGCTAAGTATGGGGAAAATGCCTATTTTAGTGATATTGCTTTTCTTGCAGAAATTTAAATTTAAATTATAGACTTACTTTGTATTGAATGTTTTCATGTAGCACAATATGTAATTTGGTTGTGCATCTAACTAATATGAAAATGAGGAAGAAAAAAAAGGAAGAAGAGTCTGGCATATTCTTCCTGTAAGCTCAGGTTGATATAATTTAAGATAATTTTTCATATCCATTTACATTAAAAAAGAAGGATGAACTGAATGTAAAGGCTGTGGTCAGGAAATGCCAGAGCATTGCATTAATTCTGGGATAGTTACATTAAATTAGCCAGTTGTGGTCTAGAACTGTATCATATTTTGTACTAGCAGGTATTCATTTGTTACTGTAGGAATTTCAGATGACTGTGAGCATAATTTGGGAGTGATGGAGCATTGCACTGGGGTTCTGAAGATGCTTTGTAATCCTTAAAATAGTGAAAGAATTTGATTTTGGAGCGGAATTGAGTTAGTAAAATCCTTGGCAACTTTCCTTATTGATAATGTTTCACATTTGTGTTTATATTATTGTCTGATCTGTGGACCTGACTTACTCTGTTATGGCACCATCAGGGAATTCCACTGGGAAATTCTTGTAGTTCTGCAAGAAGGATGTTACCTCATCATCCCCAGGAGTTAGTGCTGGAGCTTTAAAGCCAGTTTGGGAGAAGTAGGTTTGGTAAATGCCTTGGGAGGGAGGAAGTGTTGAAAGGCTGACAGCACACGGTCAGGGGATCTTTTGTGTTCTCAGTCTCATATTCTGGGGTGGATCAGTGGCTTCCCCTTGAAATTACCATGTCAGGGCACCACTTGCTGGAAGAGTCCAGGAGCTGTGTTAGATCCTTCTTGGGTCCCCTGATTCTGCCTCAGAGGTGTCACAGGTTTTGGGCACTGCAGCCTTTATTCTGACAACCTGGCTTGTTTTATTGTTCACCTGCCTTGGCCATTTTGGCTCTGGACTCCTGGGGTGGATCTCATTGCAGTGGGGCTGTCAGGTGTCTTCTACCCCAAAGTCACTGGAGTTTCCATCATGGTTTGGGTTTAGATGCTTAGACGTAATCAGTTCTTGTGGTAGGATAATGGTAATTTTTCTTTTATGAGATCCTGAAGAGCAAAGTCAAGGTTGGTGCTACAACAGTGAAAGGACTACACCTTTGAGACTCACAAAGAAATTGCACTCCCAGTTCCTCTCTGCACCACCCGGTTCACGTGGTTCTGAGCTCAGCTCTTACTCTCTGTTCACTTCCAGCAGCTCCTAAAACTCTTTGTTTTCTGCGTGATACTGTCACTTTTTCTGACTCTTGGATACAAGAGGGTAGGACAGTACAAGATTTTAGTCTTGTGCAACAGAGAATTTTTTAGGCCAGAGGTTTCTCACCTGGAAAGGGAAAACCTTGAGCTCTGTGTGACCTGGAGTCACTTCATCTGCACTGAGAACTTGGGTAAAAGTCCTTTGGGTTGCAGCAAATTGCAAAATAATTCAGATTCCCCACACTTCAGTGTAGCAATGCAAATAGCATGTTGGAATGCTGATTTATCCTGCTGTCTGTCAAAGAAAGGTAACGTGCTTTCTCCTGCTCTGGAAGTGACTTTGTGTAGCTGTGCCTCGACAAAGAGATTCAGCATCCTCAAGACAGACAGGCAGAGCAAAGGTGACTTCTTTGTGCTCAGTAGCTAAAAAATATTATTATGCTAAGGTAGAAAACAAAATAATAAAGCAAACTGAATTGTACAAAGTGTTGCTTATGTTTTCCTTGCATTTTTGGGTAAATACTTCTCTGTGTGTGTCAGTGTGACACATTAATCCAGTCAAGCCGATAACACAATAGCATCGCTGACCGTAAATTCTCCTTTTTGTTTTATTGCAGTTATCTGTGAATGCACTTAGCTGAATATGGATCCAGGTGGCGGAAGTTTGGGATTGCAAACACAAGAATCCAAAATGCCTCACACTATGATTATGCAGGATTTTGGTAAACATTTTAACTATTAAAAATAATGAGTGAAATCCAGGAGATGACCTTCTCAGGAAGGACCATGTCTTTGTTCTCTCATGAATTAACACCCCTCAGAGTGTACCAGGATAATTGCATTCGCAATACAATACTGAATAATGCCGGTTATTTTTTTCATTCTGATAAGAACCGTTTTCTTGAGTGTTTTGTTCATTAAGGTTAAAATTGCTATTTATGGGTGTGTTAAAATAATTCACTGTGCATTCTTTGTTATGTCTAGAAAAGTAGTCAGCCAGTCAAGTCTGTTAATGAAAACCAGGTTTCTGCCTTTGGCCATTCCTTCTGATGTGGCAAGTTGTGGGAAACTGTACTATAAATATTGGATACAACTGAGCATTTATTTATCTCAAAGCCCATGCAATCTAAGGGATGAAGAGTCCTTTTATTGTAGCAGCAATTAATGGTTTGTCACCTCACTTCCAGCCTCATGCAAGAATTCTGTGAATGTTCAAATTGCTGCTGTAATGAAATGTTTTCTAACTGGAATTTAAAAAAAAAAAAAAAAAGTCTTAAATTATAAACTGGCCTGTAGTTTTTAACAGATCAGTATTATCAGACCTAAGTTTGGGGAAAACTTTGCATTATATCTTGAAGTGGTATGTTTTGTTTTTCTTAATTTAAAAGATACTTTAAATTAAATATAAATTTCTTAATTTAAAGGCTGCTTTGGATAATGTTTATTGGGTGAAATGCGAAATGTGGATGTTGAGAAGTAAGAGATTCTTACATCTGTGTGTAACTTGTCTCTGTGATAATTCAGTTCCTTACATTAACCAGTTCCTCGTACAGTGATTGTAACATTTTTCTCCTGGCTCGTCCTTGTTCCACAGTGGCTGGAATGGCTGGCACTGCCCACATCGATGGAGACCACATTGTGGTGTCCGTGCCCGAAGCTGTCCTGGTGTCCGATGTCGTCACGGATGACGGGATCACTCTGGATCACGGCCTGGCAGCTGAGGTTGTCCAGGGGCCCGACATCATCACGGAAACCGACGTTGTCACGGAGGGGGTCATTGTCCCCGACTCTGTGCTGGAGGCTGACGTTGCCATCGAAGAGGCTTTGGACACCAGTGACCACGTGTTGACTTCCGACCTCATCACAGAAACCGTCAGAGTGCCCGACCAGGTGTTCGTGGCCGACCTCGTCGCGGGTGCCGAGGGACACTTGGAGCACGTGGTGCAGGACTCTGTGTCCGGAGCCACCTCCCCGACCGTGGTGTCGGAGGAGGTCCTGGTGACGAACTCGGACTCGGAAGCGGTCATCCAGGCAGCTGGGACTGTGCCTGGCTCCACAGTGACCATCAAAGCAGAGGATGACGATGATGGCAAGAGCACGTCTGAAGACTACTTAATGATATCTTGTAAGTTCAACAGAGGTACACACAGCCAGGCAGTAGCTGCAGTACAAGTGGTCTGGTGGGGAGAAGTTTCTGTAACTGGACTGTTGCCTCACTCCATCCTGGAATGCTCACTTAGGCTGGTGCCCTGTTCATTCTTGGTGTCTGGATTTGGGGTATTTTGGTGCAAAATCCCTTATTGGTGATACAGCAAAAAAGAGAAGGACATTCATGCTGTCGAGTGAGTGTGTGTGTATGTTTGTGTTTCTGGAACAAGATATTCCAGGAAATTAAGGAAAACACCTTGGAAAGCTAAACAAGATATTCCAGGAAATTAAGGAAAACACCTTGGAAAGCTAAACACTCCATTTATTTTAAGTATGACGCTTCTTTAAAAAAATCCACAGGTATACTACAATGTTATGCAGATTCCTGTAAAAATAGCATGTTGGGTTTAATCAGGAGAATCCACAAAGAAAAAGGGGTTTTAAGATCTCTGACTCTCAAAGTTTTCTCAGTGTGTCCACAAACTACAGTTTGTTTAGTGTATTAAAAAGTTATAATTGGCATTTCATTGTCTGTTGTGCTGTTTTGGGCTGAACTTGGCATTAGGGGGTCACGTGCATTAATTGATTGGTTCATTAACACTGGGAAGGGGCTTCCCATTCCAGTTCCCACACAGCATTAACTCCAGGAAGTTGTATGGTCCTCTGCTACCTGTTGAGTGCAAACTGCTGAGAGGAGCTTGAGTGTATTGTGTTTCCTCAGTGGTTAAATTATGCCCAAGGTACCAGTTGTTACTGTTACACAAATTTGATAAAGTGTATGATAGTTAATTTTATAATTTTTGACTTCTCCAAATCAGTTGTTGAAATGTGAGTAGGTCAAAACAGATTTTATTTAGTCAGGAGCAATATGTTAAAAAAAGTCAATGCCAAGTGTGTCAAAGTGTCAGTCTATTTACAATGAGCTGCATTTATTAAAAATTTCATGACAGAGGACACAACTAATTCATGGTTATGATTTCAATCTTTTGTAGCATTTATGTCCCTTATACAAAATATTTTTTGATACTTATTCAGTATGGAATGAACAGCAATGATTTTTACAGCATTCAATCGTTACTGCAATACCATCAGTAGTAGAAGGTGGGGTTTTTTTGAAAAAGAACTTAACTTAAAAAAATGAACCTCTGAAGTAATTTAGACCTTCAACAAAACAATCCTGTGTGTTTTTGTAACTAAAGGAGCACCATTTTCACAGTCAGTTGTTTCACTGAACAAATTCCTCCTTTCTGACAGAGTACTTGCTGAGTTGTTATTCTGTAACTGCGCTATTCCCACTGCACCCTTGTAATTGTAAGTACAGCCCTCTTTGGAATTCCTTCTCAGACAGAGAAAGCGTCATTGATGCTGGTGATCGCTGCACTTCGACCAGAGCATCCTAAACTTCCAGTTACCTGCTGGCCCCAGGTGTGTCTGACACATTCCTGCTCTTGTCAGGTGTTCTCAGACCCACCCATGGTGTTTGCAATGAGTCAAAGCCAGTTTGAGACCTGGTTTTCAGCAAATTACTGAAATAATATTTATAATCGTGATGTGCCTGAATAATCACAGTTGGAAGCTACATTATTCATCTGGGATTTTGTTTTAAGCAATCATTTAGATAAATTAAGGCAGTCATAGAATTGTTTAGGTTGGGAAAAACCTTTAAGATAACTCCAGGCATTGCCCCAGCGCTGCCAAGGCCACCACTAATGATGTCCCCAAGTGCCACATCCACAGGGCTTTTAAATCCCTCTGGGGATGGGGACTCCACCACTGCCCTGGGCAGCTATGCCAAGGCTGGACAGCCCTTTCAGGCAAGGAATTTTTTCCAACATCCAACCTGACCCTCCCCTGACACAGCTTGAGGCCGTTTCCCTTTGTCCTGTTCTTTGTTCCCTGGGAGCAGAGCCCGATCACCCCTGGCTCCCCCATCCTGTCAGGGAGTTGCAGAGCCAGAAGGTCCCCCCTGAGCCTCCTTTTCTCCAGGCTGAGCCCCCCCAGCTCCCTCAGCTGCTGCTCCTGCTGCTTCAGCCCCTTCCTCAGCTTTGTTCCCTTCCCTGCACACATTCCAGCCCCTCAATGTCCTTCTTGTCTGGGGGTCCCAGAGCTGCCCCAGCACTGGGGATGCCCCAGCAGGGTCAGCACAGGGACAGGCACTGCCCTGGGGCTGGGACACCCCATGGCTGGGACAGCCCAGGGGCCCTTGGCCTTCGTGGCTGTCTGGGTTTATGTTCAGCCACTGCTGACCAGCACCCCCAGGTCTTTTCCAGCCTCTCTGCCCCAGCCTGTGGCTTCCCATGGGGTTGTTGTGACCCAAGTGCAGGACCCGGCTCTTGGTCTGGTTGACCCTCACCCCGCTGTCCTCAGCCCATGGATCCAGCCTGTCCAGCTGCCTCTGCAGAGCCTTCCTGCCCTCCAGCACATCAAGACTCCCCCAGCTTGGTGTCATCTGCAGGTCTGTTGTCCCTGCTGTTCTGAGGCTGTGCTGGGTGTGGCAGCCTGACCCCACAAACTACTGTTGTATTTTTGCCAGCAAAAATGTATCATTCTTATGCAGTTGTATTTTGGTGTGTTTTTAAAAGTTTTTTTGAATTAGCCTTGAATATGTTTTGTATATATATATATATATATAATCTGTTGTGTAGAATATATAGACCTCAAAAAAAATCAAGCAGATCAAAACCCATTTTATTTACTTATATTTTTAATTTGTCAAATGTTCAGTAAATAGTGTAGAAAGTGAACTTCATGATATTTCCTTTGGGACATATAGGACTGTTGAACTATTTCTTTATGTAAATCACATCAAAGTGACAGCCTTAAAGAATCTCAAAATACTTAGCTGTCTTTTAATGAAATTTTTAGCACCTGAAGAGGGGAGACTTTGCATAAAATGCCAGATGATGTCCTTAGGGAATGCCATGAGCTGTTCTGTGGAACAGAAATTAGTTTATTTGTATAATTTGGAGAATGTGTATCATTTGGAGAATTCCTTGTTTGGGAACTTCCAGAATACTGCATTTGAGGGTATGGAGCTGGGCTGAGTGTGGAATTCTAACTTGTTGGGAGTTACAGCTCAAATGATAGAACCTTGGGTTGGGAGGGACCTTGCTGAAAGGTGATTTTTCACCATTTTGAGGTGACATTCCCATGTAGGGACTTTATACACTTTTGATAATGATATTCTTTTTTTGGAGAACAGTACGTTTGTCTTGATAGTTGTGTGACCAGCTGCGTATGACTTTGTGACTGGAAATGTTCACAAGGTTATCACCTCAACTGTGTCTCAGTGCAGATGAACTGAGCTTTTTTTAAACCAGCTCTATAAGCATAAAGTAAAAAAATCTTTATTTGCTACCTTTACAACTCCTCTCTGCGTGAATACCACAGGGTATATTCACGATCCCTTGTTTTAGATAATCAGAATATCTTGATGGAGAGGAGATGAGTACAGTGGTGGGCTGTGACAGCCCCCTGTGTGTGCAGGGGGCAGTGGGCAGGCTGTGACAGCCCCCTGTGTGTGCAGGGGGCAGTGGGCAGGCTGTGACAGCCCCCTGTGTGTGCAGGGGGCAGTGGGCAGGCTGGAGCTGAAAGCATCCCCTCTTTTGTTTTTCAGGTTTGCGATATTCAGAGCCCCGGCGGGTTGCCAGCCCCCGCCCCGTGTGCCGGCCCCGCATGCACTGTGCTGGTGACCCCCATCCCACCACAGATCCACCCTGGAGCTGGCCCCGGGGGTAAGGTACTGTGCCACCAACACCTCCTTTTTAGTGTCTTACAGTACAGTGTTGCATAATTTGCTAAGCATTTTAGTCTTCCTGCTCCTCTATTTTACGGGACACGAGTAGATCAGACATTAGAAAAACACGGAGAATTGTCAAACCATGGGACTTATCTTGCCCTCGTGTTGTCCCTCTGGCTCCTGTGGTGGGTGTGATATCACCAGCATAGTGCATGCTGAGGCATCACATGGATTGGGAGCTGGCAATCCACGGTGAATCTGGACATCACACACCTGAAAACAGCCAAGGAAGGTAAGTTTAACACTGGAGCTGTGCTGAGTTTTCCTTTAAACCTTGTTTATTCAGGAGGATTCAGCATATATTTATTAAGGTTCTCTGCTGTGTTTTTTCACTCGATTTTAAGTGACAAGATAATAATATGTAGTGCTTCTGGTGGATAAGTCAGATCTGGAAGACACTTTGATATTCCATTGACAGAAAGTAAACATTCCTGTTGCTGTGAGGCATCCCTGCGAAAAGCAGGGATAATTTAGCACTCATGGGATAGCAGTGATTGAAGTCATTACTAAGACAATAGAATATTTTCATGATGTGCTTTTAAAAAAGGCAATATTTTCTAATCTGACAAAGATTACTTGTCCTGCTGTGTTGGTTGCTTTCCTCTTATACAAACGTGTTTAAAAAATAGATGGAAGCCATGAAATTCCCTTCGTTTCAGACAGCAATTTAAGCAGCAGCAATTGCCAATTCAGTGTGTTTTGTAGTGGTGGTATTTGAAACAAAAGGCACATCTTGTAGATAACAGTCTATATTGGTATCATTTTCTCAGTCCAGTTTATATTTTCCAAATTTCATTGTGTTATGCATTTGTTTTCGTAGAAAAGTCATTCCAGAGGCCCTGGATACCCAGACTTCCTGATAGGTTTCCATTTTTTTAAGCTTAAATTGCAAAGACTGAAGGTCTTTGAATAAGCACACGATGGTTGATGTTGTGGGAGTAACCATAAATTTTTAAAGTACCGTTGTAAGTTTGCCCCTCCAAGATGGAACTCCCCACTTTTTAAAGGATATTGAAGATTTGGGAGCTTTACTTGAAATGGTAGAACCCAGTGTGTGAGTGTACATGCTCTGTTCATGTTTTGGGCGTTTTTTTCCTGAAAATATTCTTATAAAAATTGAAAAAAATCCTCATTTTTTTCCCTTTATGTGATCTTTGTTGCATTGCAATTGATGTCCTGGTAAGGCAACTATCTGAAATTGTGTGGTTTTTTCTTACATGATTTCACCAGCTCCACAGTGGTGCAGAGTCACTGCCACACAGTGGTGGTTAAATAGTTGGAAATTTTGCCATAAAGAAAACTTAGCACATATGGGATTACCCCCCTGTTTTACAGGAACTTGCCATTATTAAATAACTTCCCAATTTACAAAGTACTCATTTCTGTTAAACTGATGTTATAAAATTATAATGTTACAATATCATAAAATTTGGGAGTTTTGAAAAAGTTGGTGTTACTTGAGTTGAAGATTGGAAAACAACTTTATTACCACCTCCCAGTTCTAGATTTACAGGAACAGCTTACAGTTAGTAAGCTTTGAAATACTCTCTCTGGGTTTTGGCAGCATTTCTAGTCATACAACTCTGTATGAGTTGTGAGTTCTCTCCAGTCCTTCAAAGACTCAGACATGCAGTGGAAATGGTCATTGGACTAAAATCAGACATTTATCATTTTGAAGAATATGGATGGCAAACTTATTTATAAATAACTTCTGTAAGAAACTTTTTATTATAAAAGCCTGGCAGAAAATAAAATGGTCTTTAATAAATTCAACCATAGTAAATGTACGGAAATACTTTTTCCAAAATAAGTATATTTCAGCATCTCCACTTTCCCTTTTGGAGTTCTAATAACTCCACCATGGCAGCATAACAAATGTCAGGTTGTTACAGCAGATGGATATAAAAGGGTTCTAATAACCTGGTGCTGGTAAACTTGAGTGTCAAAAGAATATTCCAGGCTCTGTGTCTCTCTCAGGTCTGGTGTTTGTACTCTGACTCTTCTGTCCTGCCAGGTAACTTGAGCACCCTTGCACTGCATGTCAGACTCTCCCAGATTAAGGTGTGATGTTGCTGGCATCAATTTCAGTGGAGATTTAGAATGGTTTTTATTAAAAAAACCCAATTTGCCAAGCAGATTTTTAATTTTTTTTTTCTCCTGATCCAAGTTTGATATTTTTTCAGCAATGGACTTAATCTGTTCTATACCACAGCATTTTTTAATTGTTTTCCATTTAATTTTCATTGGAATGTATACCTTACAGAGGTTCTGAAATTAAAAGAAATACTTCCTTGTACTTACCTACATTTTATCTAGTTGTGTCCTCAGTAACTTGTGTGCTCATGTGCTGCAGTCCAGGGCTAGTGAGGCAGAGATGAGGTTTCTCAGTGCTGTGGTAGCTGGATAGTGTTCTGTGGAAGGCTGTTTGTGAGTGGGAAGAGCTTACTTTGGGATTGCTGGGGTGGATTCCTGCCCTGCTGCAGGAGGGGCATTTCCTGGCAGGCGCTGTCACCACTGCACTGGGGCAGGGAGCTGGGGAGCAGCACAGCTCTCCCCAGACACTCATTTCCACCCTGTTTCTTCCTAGTGTACACAGAGTTTAATGTCACCTGTGCAGTAAATTACTGTTTCCCTGGAATGGGTTTAATTCAGGTTTGGTTTCCATTCTGTGGAATTCTGTTTTGAGCCCTTCAGTGGGTGTTGAGCATCGCACAGGTTTGTGCTGCCCATCTGCACAGGAGCTAATTTTATCCCCCGAGAGAAGTGTGTGGGTACATATGTCAGAAAGATGCTTAGTTCAGTGGCCTCTGTGCTGGCAGTTTGGGATAAATCTTAGGACATCTATAAGAATGCCCTGCTTTTAGTAGTTTGAGTGTATTCTTTGTTGTAGAACTACATGAGCATTTTGGATATGTAGACCAACTAACCAGTGAGTTGTGTGCATAAAGGATGAGAAGTCAATCTCACGTAGCAGTATTTGGATTTATTGTCACTGCATCATTTAATCAGCTCTATATTATACCATAATCTTCATTAATATGTTTTCAAGTGATAAAGTGGGTAAAATCATAATTTCTTTTAGGGAGAAGGTGTCAGATTTTTGATGCACACTTAAACTGGGGATATAACTCAACTGACGAGTTTCAGCTACTAAATTTGGGTCACCAGTGTGTCAGAGTACTGAAACTTTTGGGGACTCTTAGGCTATAACAGGAAATTCTGGGTTAGTTTTTAACATTGTTGGATAGATGTTTAATTATTGATACATTTTTGGTCTCTAAGTGTGATAGTTTCAGCCATAGCCAGTTACCTCATTCCCTTTGATGACAGGCTCCCTCTTGTGTCCTTCGTTCTGTAATTCCTGCTGTGTTTCCCGAGTTGCAGTAAAATGATATTGAACTTGTGGAATCTCCTTGAGATGAGCTGTTTCGTAAAGGCCACTTACGAATACAACCCTTTACTGTGCATGGGGAGAATAGTGGAGAAAATCATGCTGCTGGTTACTTTGACTTCTAAAAACGTGTTTGAAGCCTCATCATTGTTCTCTTCTCATTACAGTGGATGATGTTGGGGAGAAGTTGGACCACATGGGAAGCACTCCCTTGAAGATCAGCACCGAGGTGGCGAACGATGACGTTGCCAAAGATGACGGGTTTGGCTCAGAAGTTATCAAAGTGTACATATTTAAAGCTGAAGCTGAAGATGATGTTGAAATAGGTACCTTTAAATTCTCTTTATTCCTCCAGTAGTATGAGGAGTTTCAGGGTCTTTTTGTGTGTTGTTCTGAATTCCGTGTAACCCAGTGAGTGGAGTGTTTGGGCTTGAATTTTTCAGGGTACACCGAGAGACCTTTTTCCTCCTCTGTTCTGGAGTATCAAACCTGTGTGGTTTTATGACAGACCTGGACGTAAAAACACTTAATTGGAATTTTATGACAAACAGTTTTTCTGTAAATAGGAAAAAAATACTTAAATGTGAAATTAGCGGTGGCTTTGTTCACATTTACTAAACATGTGTAACTTTGTGACTTCTTTTTGTTAAAGGTGGGACAGAAATTGTCACTGAGAGTGACTTTCACAATGGCCATTCTGTAGCTGGAGTGATTGAGCAAGGTGGTGTTGGGAGAATGCAACGAGAAAAAATGGTTTACATGGCTGTTAAGGACTCCTCTCAGGAAGATGAAGATATTAGTAAGCATAACAAGAAACATTTTTGTTTCTCTTGCTATTTGTATGCCAATATAACCATCATCTCAAGGACATTTTTAATTTTTTCTGAAGAATTCTTCAGCCTGGAATAGTAGAAAACTAAGTTCATCTTCCCTAAAAATAAAAAGCAGTCTATGATTATTTTAAAGTGTTGTGGATAGTGCACTTTATGCATACTTTGTGCAATCATTTCATTATTTATATTAAATTTAACGTGCCCATGGATGAAGTTAATGAGGTTAGTCAGACTTTCATTTTTCTGTTTTCCCTCTGTGAATTAAGCTGTTTTCTGGCAAAGTAGCAAATGCTATCAGTTGCAAATTTGTAAGTTTGCATATTTGAAATTCTGTTGGTATTTGGTTTGGATTTATATTTATTGGTAAGTGTTTTCTCTCTTTAAGGAATGTCTGAATAAACAGTGATCCTCTAAGGGCAGGGGTGGTCCTACATGCCAGAGAAAGAAAAGTAATTTATAATGGGTATCAAGCAGAGTGAGAGCAAATTAAATAAAGGAAAAGTTAGGATGAGCAGAATAAAATTAAAGATTTATTCTTCTCCCCTCATCCAGGCTGTGCTGAAATAGCAGATGAAGTTTATATGGAAGTTATTGTAGGTGAAGAAGAAGCTACATCCCTTCCAGACACCCAACTCGAGGACTCTGGCGTGAATAAAACGTTTGTCCCTGTTGCTTGGGCTGCTGCTTACGGTAGGAATCTCTATTTCCTGAAATGCCTTCCCATTCCTGAAATCCCTCCCCTCATCCAGCTTCCAGAATATCTGGGCAAACGTGACAATCTCTCACCTTGTTCTAGGAGTTTGGAAACAGCTCCTCCTGATGTCTGTCAGATAAGGAGAGCGTTGCTGGGTGCTTTGTTTCATGGAGTAGAGAAAGGAGAGCTGTTAGGAGAGGTTTATGCAGTTCCCGATCCCAGCTCAGGCGTGTGTGGGGTTTGATGGTTCATGGTGGCTGTTGAAGATCTTAGAACAACAAGAACAGCCTTAAGTGTTTTACATTAGCTGGGAGGAAGGGGGAAAAACCTCAAGTAGGGAGTAAATGTGTAAACATGTTCCTAATAATTTCAGTTTATATAAGTGTTCTAGGCCTGTTAGTCCTTCAGGTTAGAAACAGAGTTTCAAATATTGGAACTGTCTTAGGATATATTCTGAATTCTGTCTATTCTTTTATATGATTTTCTTGGATTTTGGTGTGTTAAATGTTTATTAAGAGGGTATTGGGTCGTCTGTGGTTTATGTTACAATTAAGTAATCAAGTCAGTTAAATTCATTGTGTGTGATGATGTGAGCCCAGGTTGATGAAAGGGTTCAGAACTACAGAGCTTTGGCACATAGCAATGAACACTTCCAGTGCAAAATGAGGAATACACTCCTAAGGTATTCCTTACACATCTTCCAAAACTCCACAGGGCCTCATGTAGATCATGAGAGGCTGATCGGGGCCAAGTCCTCGTATCAGCCTGGTCCTACTCCAGAAAGATAACGTGATTCCATCCCAGGAACATTGCAGATAGCCTCTGGATTGGTATCTGAGCTGATGGATGAGGTTGCAAGTTTGCAGAAACAAGCATGTTAATTTTGAAAAGCAGGAAAGCCAGCGTGGCAAGGCATGCAAGCACAGATTTAGTGGATATTAACTCTCCACAAAGATGGGATTTTGTTTCCTGGGGCTCGTGATTACAGAACACTGATCTGATTGTGAGCTGCACATCTCCCTTTGGGTGGTGTTAAGCTGTTATTTATTACATAAGTTAGTTTTCTCTCATTATCAGACTTTCAAAGCCATCGTGTTTAAAAATAAATTTAATTTATAATGACTAAAATACCATTTTCTGCAGGAGATGAAAGAAGGCTTCCCCGAAGATACGAAGATGGTCAAGCGGCAGGTGAGAACTTGTAACAACATTAAAACTGCTGTGCTGTCCTTGAAAATATGTGCATTTATGTGTCAGGGAATTCTATATTGAAGGACTCCACAGTCTTTCTCTGCTATTTTGAGTTAAAACAGTTGTAGTTGTCTGTAGGCCTTTGGAGGGGTGGGAAGTTGGGAGGCACTGCCAGGTTGTTAATGCAGTTTTGCAGACAGAAAAGGGATAATGCAGCTCTTAAGAAGTAAAAACAAGTTAAGTAAAAGGGAACAATCAGCATAACTCATAAGAAATGAATGTCTTGAGAAGTAAGAGAGATCAAGGAATATATTTAAAAATTAATCAGTATTTAAGCAATTATATTCCTGACTTTTGCCAGGAAAGAGAGATAGTGCTTTATATTGGCACTGCTCTTCTTTATGTGTGTACATGGTAGATGAAAGGGCAGTATTTGTTTTTAAAATGCTGCAGTGCAATTCCAGTCGTCAGTCCCAAAGAAACAAGTTGTTTAAGGTTTTTTATGGTGTCTAATTTTTGTTTCTAGGAAATAACTTGGATACACGATTAGAAAACAAAAACGGTAATGCAACACAGTACCTGCAGATTTGTGATAGCATTGGCACTAATAGAGTGCTCAAACAAAAAGCCAAGAAAAGGAGGAGAGGAGAGGCCAGGCAATGGCAAACAGGTAAACACTGGATGGCTACGGTATTGTCATGGAGTGCCACCTACTCCTGTGCTATTCCTTTTCTCTTGTTTAAGCTGATGCAGAATTAAAAGCTCTAAATGATGATTTGCATATTTCCTGTGTCCTTCCCCCCTCCAGTTCTGTGCAGAGAAAATGTCATATTTTTGCTATTCAGAGTCAGTACACTCAGGGCTGATGCAATTCATTGGAATGTTGCAAGCTATTAGAAAGTAACCATGGCTATATTCACTGCACATGTGATAATTCCTGATCTGTTGGAGCGGTTCCTAAAATTATATAAACTATAGGTGCTGTGGATTGGTTGTTTTTAAACTACTGAACCACTCTCTCTGCTGCAAGTGTAAGTGCATGAATCTGAACAGCACTTGGCTGATTTAAAACTTCGTCAGTAAATGTGTTTCCTTCATAACTTGTTTTTGTTTGTTTAAAAACAGCTGTTATAATAGGTCCTGATGGACAGCCCTTAACAGTTTACCCTTGTCATATTTGTGGGAAAAAATTTAAATCCAGAGGATTCTTGAAAAGGCATATGAAGAACCATCCCGATCATATGATTAAGAAGAAGTACCAGTGTACAGACTGTGACTTTACAACTAACAAAAAAGTAAGTTTCCACAATCATCTGGAAAGCCATAAACTTATAAATAAGGTTGATAAAACGCACGAGTTTACGGAGTACACGAGAAGATACAGAGAAGCGAGCCCCTTGAGTTCCAACAAACTCATCCTGAGGGACAAGGAGCCCAAGCTACACAAGTGCAAATATTGCGACTATGAGACTGCAGAGCAGGGACTACTCAACAGGCATCTGCTGGCAGTCCATAGCAAGAACTTCCCTCACGTGTGCGTGGAGTGCGGGAAGGGATTCCGCCACCCCTCGGAGCTGAAAAAGCACATGAGGACCCACACGGGGGAAAAGCCATACCAGTGTCAGCACTGTGTGTTCAGGTGTGCTGACCAGTCCAACCTGAAAACTCACATCAAAACCAAACACGGCACCGACCTGCCCTTTAAGTGTGAGCACTGTCCCCAGGCCTTCGCCGACGAGAAGGAGCTGCAGCAGCACATGGAGTTGTTCCAAGGGCACAAGACTCACCAGTGTCCCCACTGTGACCACAAGAGCACCAATTCCAGTGACCTGAAGCGACACATTATCTCGGTTCACACGAAGGACTTCCCCCACAAGTGTGAGGTGTGCGAGAAGGGCTTCCACCGGCCCTCCGAGCTCAAAAAGCATAGTGAGACCCACAAAGGGAAAAAGATCCACCAGTGCAGGCACTGTGACTTCAAAACCTCAGATCCTTTTGTACTTAGCGGGCACATCCTCTCAGTTCACACCAAGGACCTGCCTTTTAAATGCAAACGGTGTAAAAGAGGCTTTAGGCAGCAGAACGAACTGAAGAAGCACATGAAGACCCACAGCGGGAGGAAGGTGTACCAGTGCCAGTATTGCGAGTACAGCACCACGGACGCGTCGGGCTTCAAGCGGCACGTCATCTCCATCCACACCAAGGACTACCCCCACAGGTGTGAGTATTGCAAAAAGGGCTTCCGCAGGCCCTCCGAGAAAAATCAGCACATCATGAGGCACCACAAGGAGGCCATAATGTGACAGAGGAGCTGCAGAAGGAGGCGGTGTAGAAACTGTGATAATGCTAATTGGGGAAAAAAATAAATCTCACGAACTGTTTCTCCTGGTTTCAAAGCTTGATATTAAACCATAACTTTACATTCTTTGTATTAAAAGTCTTAAAAGTATTAGGGTTGGCAGGGGATCTCATAGCCCTATGATTGTTGCTTATCAGAACCTAAAGAGCACTATAGAATGGAGAGGTTGGATGAATGTCTTAAAGTTGCAGAAAGATGGATGAATGTCTTCAGGTGAACAGTTATTTCCCATGGCTAAGTACAGAAGACAGAGCAGAGCTGATTGTGTGACCCATTTTGTCAGTAACATTTGTCTCCAATATGAAAACAGTTCAGAGTCGTGGTGGGGTGAGTTACAAAAGGTTTGCAAAGGAGCCCAGTCCTCACTTCTTGTGCAGTTTTGAACGGGGGGGTTCAGTCAGTCACTTCATCCCAACGTTTTAATTGTGCCTAGAAATTGAATTCCAGAACTGCTCAAATTTGCGGGGGTTGTCCCTTGTTTGGTTTGATTTTTTTTTTTAATTTTTTTTTTTTGAACATTTCATCAGGAAACTTTTTGGTTTCCTTTAATAGTTTAGGTCCAAGAAGCATTTTTTTACTGGTTTTCAAAGCTGCTAACCTATTTTATTGCAGGATTTGATGTTTGAAATAGAGCACTATGTTATGGTCTCAGAGGTGGTGTTCTGGTGCTAGGGTTAAAGATATATATGTACATAATTTCCCTTTTTTTATCTGAAACTACAGTTGAATGTTGTTCAGTATGGCACATATAACAAAATTAACTTTGAATTTGACTTTTTTTTAAGGATAAAATGGATGCAGCTCATAGTGTTGTGACTCAACACTAATTTTTCTTCTCGCTACTTTAAAAATCTTCTTTAAAAAGAATATTAAAAACAGTTGAAAACTGTAGAGTTTTGTTTTTTTTTTTTTTAATTAAAATTCAGAGTACTTAGAAGTTCTTTAGGGCAGTGTTCTTAACAGGTATGACAATTACTGTCCTACCTCCTAATAGGAAATTTTCCATATAGACATAAAATTGCACCTTTCGATGGATTCTTTTTAAAATAAAAAGATCTATACCATGCTATAAACATGCATTTTCAATCTGTAAGAAAGTATATATGCAGTATTTAACCAGAAAAATCTGCTGCCACTAGAGTTTGGAGGTGGATCTTGAGTTTACAGTGTATACATTTAAAATATGCATCCCTTTACAATGCTTTGTGTTAGCATGCTGCAGATCCAATGGCGCTTATATAACGAGCTGGTCTAGGGCTATTTAATGAAAAACCTGGTCATAAATGTTATGCATATAATGTGTATTTTTTACTTTTTTAGTTGCTTCATGTTTGCACACAGCTGTTCACATGAGAAATTATAACTTCATGCTATATTGTGGCTTTGTGTTCCAGATAATGTTCATATTTTGTTGGGGGTTTTTTTTGCACCAGATGAGAATCAGTTCCTTGAGAATAAATTTTTTTTATATTTCTAAACTTCAGAAAGTTAAATTTGGGAAATCTCTTAGACAAATACGTGTTTTATGTGGCTGTAAAAAATGATGTACACGCTGTAAAATAAGATTGTCACTGTTCTGTGGGATTATTATTTCTAAATGTGTTACTCATCGTAACGGGCATACAATAAAACGCATCTCTTGCACTCCAAATGTTTTGGAGTTTGCTTTTCATTTGTGGTGTTTAGGAAAGTCTCATTCTGTGGAAATTTAGCTGTTATTTTTAATTGTGTTATTTGCTCATTAGTATGTAATAACCTTTCAAGTAAGCAGGTTACTGGAGGTATATTTGTCAGACTATGGAGGGGAGAGCATTGGCTTTGATTTGACTAACCCTTTAAACTTACAGGTAATGTGCTTACTTTGTTTATTTCTAAAATTATTCTCAAATGTGATACATTCCTTTGACTTTTTTTTTTCCTTTAAGAGAACATAAAACTTCTCACGTGTTTTGGGAAAACCCAGGTAGGTGGGTTTTTCTCTTTTTATCTGTGTAATAAGAACAGCTTACAGAGTGAAATACTAAAAATGCTGCTATCCTTAAATTCCCTCTCTTTTTAGGATAATTGAATTACAACATCAGTAATAGATTAAACACTTGAAGAAGGAAGTGTGATTTTAAATGAACAGTTCATCAAGGATTTCCCACGGGCTTTGAGCCACTGAACTCGTAGGTTTTGCACCAAAAAGCAGAAATTAAACAGGCAGAATGTATTTATCTGGTTCTTGTTGCTGCTGCTTTGCTTTGCATGCCCAGCAGTCAGAGGTAGCATTCAAAAAAAGTCTTAAAAGTTGTGCTTTTCTGACCATGTTAATGTTTTGTTCCTGAGCATTATGTTGAATACTTGAACTGAAGGAGTTTCTTTGTAGCGGCCCGAAGATGATCACCCTGGCTCTGTGCCGAAGCCCACAGCCCTGCTGGCTCATTTCCACACCATACAGATGGATAGAATAATCAGGTAATAATTCTATGGCAAAGCAAGAGGGTGGTTGCTGTTCTTGACATAAGATTTTACTAGAAAGTGGCGTTTTAAGTCTTCTGGAATGCAAGAAATGCAATGTCACCTGACTCTTCAGCAGTTAAAGGCACAGTCCCTGGATCCTTTTCAGTGCACTTTCCCTGTTCATACTGAAGAGGATTTTGGTGGCTGTTGTGTTGTCACCGTGGAGGTGTCACGACTTTAAAAATGCTTCCTGTCAAGTCACAGTAACAGGTGTCTGTCAGTGCTTCCACACATCCCTTTCCCAGTGTTGGTGATGGGATGTCACTCCACAGAACCTGGAGTGGGAGAGGGCTGGGGTGAAGTACCTGCTGTGGGTAGGGCTGGGAGCGCGTGCAGGAAGCTCAGCTGTTGTTTGTGTCCCTCCTCTGCTCCTGCCATGCTGGATGTGATGGACAGTGGACAAATGGGGCTTGAGCAAGGGCAGTTCACAAACTCTGCAAGGGTTGCTCTGGAATGGCAGAGTTGTTTGGTGCAGTTTTATTGGAGTGACGGACTGACAGGTGCAGTTAAAAAAATGACTTATGTCTTGATCATCTGTGTTTCTCTTTCTTCAGGTTTCAAATGCCCACAATTAACTAAAATAGAGAGAAAAGAGGGCAGAAGAGCAGCACAACACTCTGGAGGTGAAGGTGAGTTATCTGGGTGTGGTCTGTGTGACTCCAGAGCTGTCAGGAACTTCTGAACTGGGGCTCTCTTTGGCTTTTATTTCACAGCTGAGGGAGAGAAACTTCCCTATTAAAGAAAGGTCAGTCATAAAAACCAGAAGACAGTTTTCTCCTGGTCTTCAGTGCAAACTCAGACTGTTCAGGCAGTGAGAGGTTATCTAATACCACTGTTGATAAAGAGAGTCAAATAGGGCAGAATGTCTATTGTTGTAAATATATGAAGTAAATGCTGTCTGATTTTTCTAATTTGTTCCTGAAAAAATGTAGAAATCTTGGTGGACCTCTCTGATATTGAGGTGCGAAATTATCTCAAGCGAAGTGTTTACAACTAGCATTTACAGAGCTGAGTAAATGAGAAAAATGTGTTTCTGTAAACTCCAGCAGAAAGCACTTTTAGGTAAATCAGGTCCAGTGCAACAGAAGAGGGGCGACAGCTGAGACCACAGCAAGTAACAGGTACTTTATAATGAAAAATACTAAATTTGCTTTTTAAATAAATCTGGTTTGAAACCAAAGCCCAGCCCATAAATGAACGGCCATATGCTTTACCTGCTAGTCTAATTTAGCTTTTTAACAACTCTCTGTTGCTCTGTCTGTGGGTACAGTGTGTAGTTACAACCTGTGCTCTGTTACATTTACAGTGCACAATCTTCAAATACACCCCAAACCTTCGAGGAGCTGAGCCTGCTGCACCTCCAGTACAGCCACCTGTCCTGAGCAGCAAACCTGGGCTGGTTTTAAACAGGCTGCACGTTCCTCTCTGTTCCAGTGTGGGGAACAGGCATGGTGTTTTCACTGGGATTTGCCATCCTGCCAGCTGCATATGCAAAACAGATCATTAGCTAATGGTGGCCTTTGTCAGGGAACTGTCCCACCACACCCAGGAGCTCCTGTTCAGAGCCTGTGTCAGGGCGTTCCCTGAGCGTGTTGTGCTGTGCCAGGGACAGGAAACACGGGCTTGGTGTCACTGAGGGCATGGTCAGTAGATCTGCACAGCCCTGGCACGGCTGACACCAGCACACAGTAACTGTGCCCATCAGTAACTCACATTTCTGCTCTTTGTAGCCTCTCCAGGGCTGCGAGACACCCATGGTGCTGGGACACCTGCACAGTCAGGCACAGGTAAGTGATGGCTTTAAACACACATGACCTTCTACCGCTTTTAAGCCTTTTTTTGTTCTGTTTTGTAGATCACCAAAGGTGGAAAGTCATTTAAGGACAGCCTAAGATTATTTATTGGGATAGAAGACAGTGTGTTCTGTGTTCTGTGTCACTACTCTTAGCTCTATAGATGTACCCCACCTCTCATACAGAAATGGGGGGTTGTTTTAGAATAATAATTGATTTCAGATGGGCATGGCCATCCTCATTCCAAGGATGGGATTTAACTAATTAAACCCTCTTTCTGTAGAGTAAGGCTGAAGTGGTTGACAGTTGCTGGTGCAAACTCTTACTTATTTCCTGAAATTCCTGGCCCATCTCAGCCTGGGCACACTCAAAGAGCAGCATCAGGGGCAGGTTCTCCTTGTGGCTCTTTCTCCAAGTTCTGAAGAGCACGAGCTCAGCTGGACATCCAGCATCACCTCTGGGGAGGCCTGGGATCAGGGGCCAGGAAAGGGACCCAGCACTGGTCCTTCACTTGTCAAGATTCAGGTGGAAGAATTCAGCACCACCTCACTCCCCCCTCCAGCTGTTTCCAGGACAGACAGACATGATTCAGAAAGTTACACTTGGGTTTATTTCATGGTTACAGGTACAGCATTGCCTGTGCTATATAGTGTTTGTGAACAGAAATACATGGCTGCAGAAGTAAAGCAAAGCAAGAACCCCACTAGAAAGAGCACCTTTGGTTTAAGCTTTGCCCTGTGATTCTCTTGTGTGCTGTATTGCTCAGACAACAACTTACTCATGAATACCAAATTATTTTGAAAGAATTTCTGTGGTCCTGGAAGGAGCAGAAATTGTAAAAGGCAGGTTGTTCTGATAAGGAAATTTAGTCCATGAGCTATTTTCATACAACGTTCTTCTATATAAAAATATACCAAGTTCTTGAAGATTTCAAGCACAGCAAATAAATACTTACAGCTGGTAACCCAGGTCAGAAGCTGGGCTTGAGGAGTTGTGTGGCTGGTGTAAGTTAAGTGATTGTCCTTTGTGTCTGAGCTTCCCACACAGAGGCAGGTGAAGGTAAGCAGTTTTCAGTGAGGTATTTTTGAAGTTCCCTGTGAAGGTGGTTTCTGGGGTTTGTATCATCTCCAGAGGGCAGCCTGAGACTGCACTGGAAGCAGCCCCATGCTGTGTGGGACTGACATGGGTGCCATTCCCACTCTGAGCATGAGGAGACAGGACAGAGGAACATGGGTACCAGGACGAAGAGGAAAAGGTTTCAGGTGTGTTCCTTTTGTCTCTTAGATCACTTCAGGACTGGCTGAAGAACAAGAGTTAGTCAAGAAAAGCTGAAGTCCACAGAGGGATGGCATCCTGCTCTTCTGAGGGAAAAGTGAGTCCTCAATGTGTTCCCAGCCCTCCTCACTCTCAGACTGAACCTTTTCTGGGTGCAGAGTAGCAGAAAGTAAAGCAGCTGTAGTGGCTGTGAACTCCTTCAAACAGCTCTGACGGCCCAGAGGTTTCTTTCATTCCTGAAAGAAACAAGCAGCTTGTTAGAAACAAACTTATTTCTGTTTTAAAACAAAACTACCTACTATGAAGCATCTTACTCGTTTTCTCCAGCAGCCTGAGTGTCTGTGGGAACCAGTGAGCCCTTCCTTTGTACCAAACTCTTTATTTTTCAATTGCTTGACAGTGCAGGTTGCAATGCAACTGAGTGAGTTCTAGGCATCAGTAATAAAACTCTGCTGTTTGCCAGTGACCTCTGCCTTTTACTTACTTCATCCTCCTGCAGGTAACATACACCAGGTGTGTTACCCTTCAACTGTCTCTTGGTTGTATCCCCCCAAAACCACCCTGTGTCCCTGTGCTGCTGTGTCATTCCACCTGCAGGCACCAGAACACCTGGTTGGGGACCAGCACCTTGATATTTCTCCAGCCTTGGACTTTACACCAGCCTGGTGTAACCAGACTCAGCACCACGAGCCCGTGCCCTGTAACAGAAATAGCTTCTGCAGCCCTGTTTTCTATTTGCACTCTGAATCACTGCTTCAACTGTCACCACTCTTCTGCATTCCTGGGTTAGCCACTGCCCTGGCTCAAGGTGAGTTTCAGGGATGGGGTGTTTGGTATATTTTAGTAATAGCTTGGAGTCATTAATGCTGCTGATTCAAAAGAGCACTGCCCACCCAAAACCCTCCTCACCTGAGAGCACAGCAGGGACACAGTCCCTCCCCCCTGCCCAGTACAGCAACACCCTCGGGACTGGTGTTAGAGCAACGCTGCTGCTTTTGTTCAAGGTAATTACATGCCAGAGAAAACAACAAAAGGTTTTATTTGTACCCCACCCACCAATTACTGCAGCTTGCAAGAGCCAGGACAGTTCCTTGACTGTAAT